CTTTGGTGGCGAGTAAGATCTTTATTCTGAGCAAAGCTCTTTCCACATTCCAGGCATTTATAAGGTTTATCTCCCGTGTGGATTCTTTGGTGGCGAGTAAGATCTTTATTCTGAGCAAAGCTCTTTCCACATTCCAGGCATTTATAAGGTTTATCTCCCGTGTGGATTCTTTGGTGGCGAGTAAGATCTTTATTGTCAAAAAAGCTCTTTCCACACTCCAGGCATTTATATGGTCTTTCCCCTGTGTGGATCTTTTGGTGGCGAGCCAAATTACAGTTTGTACTGAAGCCCTTTCCACACTCTGGGCATTTATAAGGTTTATCTCCCGTGTGGATTCTTTGGTGGCGAGTAAGATCTTTATTGTCAAAAAAGCTCTTTCCACACTCCAGGCATTTATATGGTCTTTCCCCTGTGTGGATCTTTTGGTGGCGAGCCAAATTACAGTTTGTACTGAAGCCCTTTCCACACTCTGGGCATTTATAAGGTTTCTCCCCGGTGTGAACCCATTGATGAGAATTAAACTGTCCTTTCTGAGTAAAGCTCTTTCCACACTCCAGGCATTTATATGGTCTTTCCCCTGTGTGGATCTTTTGGTGGCGAGCCAGATTACAGTTTGTACTGAAGCCCTTTCCACACTCTGAGCATTTATAAGGTTTCTCCCCGGTGTGAACCCATTGATGAGAATTAAACTGTCCTTTCTGAGTAAAGCTCTTTCCACAGACAGGGCATTTATATAGACTCTCCCCTGTGTGGATCCTTTGATGGGTAATAAGATCTCTATTCTCAATGAATCGCTTTCCACACTCCCTGCAAGTATATGTTTTCTCCCCTGTGTGGATCCTGTTATGACGAATCAGATGGCCCTTTGTTCTGAAGGCTTTTCCACACTCAGTACATTTATAAGGTTTTTCTCCTGTGTGGATCCTTTCATGACAAGTAAGATGTCCTTTTCGAGTAAATCCCTTTCCACACTCTAGGCATTTATATGGTCTTTCACCCATGTGGATCCTTTTATGATGAGTAAGAATTCTATCCTGACAAAAGCTTTTTCCGCACTCCATGAATTTATATGTTCTCTCCCTTTTGTGGATCCTTTGATGATTAAAAATACTGTTGATAGTGAAGTTCTTTCCAGACTTCATGCAGAGTTTCATATCTCTGCTCAGATTGAAATCCTTACCAACTTTTATAAACGTATGTGATTTGTATTTCCTATACAGTTTCTTAAGTAAAGTAAAAGAGAAGAAATTATTGATGTATTTTCCATAATTTATAAAGCCTTTAGTTTGACATCTGCTATACTCAGGCAAATCAAACTTATTTTCCCCCCTTTTGCTGGATTTTCCCTTTTTCTTCCCTTTCTGACCTTGTTGGGTCAGGAAGCCATGGATTTCAATAGGCAGAGAAGTGGGGGAACTGTCCCCCATATCTTCTGAGTGTCCTCTCTCTTGACTTATTGGATCCCCTTCATAGTCAAACATTATTTCTTGTACTTCATGCTTTGTTGTTTGCAGTGGCATTAATCTCATCTGCTTGTCATTCTCATTCTCCAGCCCACCACCTGCTTGGAAAAAAATAAGTTCCCATTAGAGTTTAGAATGGCTAAGGAGGAATGTCTACCCATCTCAAAAGCATGCCTTCATGTTCCAACTTTGGCATCAGCCATTTGTCTCGCTAGGAGATATTGGGCCAAATTGTTATCTACGATGGATATTTCTGCCAAGGCCTTTCTCTTGTAGAATAAGTGATGTGATGATTGCCTTGGACAAAATTGCTTCTAAAGATCCTATGTTTGTTTGTGATCTAATGGGCCTCTGGTCATTGATTGATTTTATGAGATTAGGAAACATATGAAGGGAATACATTCAGGTAGTGGCCAGGTCGGAGTCATGATCATCTTAAGCAACTGAGTGCAGGAATCTTCTATGTTTACCTTCCTCTGAGAAACCCTTCCCCAATGAATGGAATGCAGAGAAAAGAGTCTTACTCAGAGTAGCCATATTCCTAGAAACCTCCATCAGGACTTCACTGCATAAGGCCCTCTGTCTGGGATCCAACAGTGCCCATTCCTCCTCTGTGAAGTCAACAGTCACCTCTTCAAAGGAATTAGAGCCCTAGAAAGAGAATGTTCCTTACCATTCAATCCTAGGAAAACCTTGTGAGTTTTCTCTCTCACTGCACAAAATGGAAAACAGAGCTTTGTAAAGGACCAAACAGACATCTTCTTACAGGAGAGGTAGGTGCACATACTGTAGTCTGTGGGGCTTGAAAACCTTTCCTGTCAGGCTGCTGTCAAACTTCACAAATTATGCCTTACGTGCATCCAAGCTGTAGAATGGCAATTTAGCCCCCATTGGGGAGCCTCCCAGTGACCCACAATAACCTAGCAAGGAAGTTTGGAGGAGCAGAATTCCCTGATCTGACCTCACTTGACTTGGGGGAATTCAAAATTAGTTAGAAAATGGGACACATCCTCTTGGAATTTCTTCCCTGGCTTAATTCAAAATGTTTCCAGGATATAATGCTGGAAAGTCTAAGTCATTTGACTAATAATCTGGCTGTTGTAGCCACTTAGCACTGACTTTTACATGAGAAATCTGCTCTTCATGAGATTCATTGTTAAGTGGATATGCTGATAGATTTCTGAAGCAATTTTGATGCTATTCATAGTCTTTCAAATCAGGGATTTCATTTTTAACTGGTTTTCAGTAATTCTTAAACAAATAAATTACATTTCCTAATATAAGCTAATTCATTATTTCAGTCTGTGAATTGTCTGTTTGTATGTCCAAAATGATTATAAAGTTGATTGTACAGTGGGGCAAAAAAGTATTTAGTCAGCCACCAATTGTGCAAGTTCTCCCACTTAAAAAGATGAGAGGCCTGTNGAGGGAGGGAGGGAGGGAGGGAGGGAGGGAGGGATGTTTTTCAGTCTAAGGAATTCTGCTTCCCTTTTCTACCCAGAAGGACCTTAATTGCTGCTTTAAAGAAAAGTATTTCAATGTATTCTTTTATTCTTATTTCTGTTTCTCAGAAGACAAAAATAAGGCAGTGTATACAGTTCGTTTTGTGACGGTTCAAACTTATTCCCTGTTTCCCTGAAAATAAAACCTCCCCGGATAATGAGCCCAATTGGGTTTTTGAATGCATGCACTAAAATAAGTCCTACCCCAAAAATAAGCCCTCCCCGAAAATATTGCAACACGGCCACAGCCATGAGCCTCCTGTACCTCAAAAATAATAAGACCTCCCCAAAAATAAGGCCAAGCACTTATTTCCAGGTGGGGGGGTTGTCAAAAGAAAATAAGACCCAGTAACAGCACTGGAAAAAGTGACATGGCTGTTTTCACACTTACGACCATCGTAGGCACTCCCGCACAAGTGATCAAAATTCAGATGCTTGAAACTGACAGATACTTATGACGGATTCAGTATCCCGAGCTTTTGTGATCTCCTTTCCCGACCTTCTGACAAGCAAAGTAAATGGGGGGAGGGGGAGCCAGATTCACTTACCAACCGTGTGACTAACTTAACGACCGTGGAGGTTCACTTAACCACCACTTAACCACAGGTCCTAAAACGGAGCAAAGTTTATTGTCTCTCTTAGCAACAGAAATGTGGGGGAAACATGGTCGTAACTCAAGGACTACCTGCGCCAGCAAAAGACTCAAAAATAGTTCTAATACAGTAGTAAAGTTAGTCCTTTGAGTAATGCAGCTGGCGGGTTATAAGCTCTCTCCAGATACAATGAAACCGACCTTCCATTTTTCTGCCTTTGCTTTTCCACAGCTGCGGAAAGCTGTTATGGATCACATATCGGACTCGTTCCTGGAGACCAACGTCCCCCTGCTGGTTCTCATCGAAGCGGCGAAGAGCGGCAACGAGAAAGAAGTGAAAGAATACGCACAAGTGTTCCGTGAACATGCCAACAAGTTGGTGGAGGTAAGTGTCGCGTTCCGGCGTTCAGCAAGGAGTTCAGGCAATGACGGTGAACTGAAAACTTTCATCCAAACAAGCTGTGACATCCGGGACAAAGAGGATAACAAGACTTTCAATGGCTTTCACTCCGCCCTCACGGTTCCACCCTCTGGGCCCCGCCCCCTATCTCCCCCCACCCCTCACGCATCGCCCTTCCGTTAATGCCGTTGCAGCTGCCAGCCCTCTCGGACAAGCCATGGAGGCTTCAGGCGCTCTATGCACCCTCCCTCACCCGTCCGACCCTTGCCAGTCTCCGCACAACAGCTGTTCATGATGGCCATAGTCCATCCGGCCCTTGACAGGCTTCATAGCAGCGGGGGAACACGTCAAGGCCGCCCTACAGTCCGGTAGGGTCCCAGCAACACATAGCTCCACTGCGCGGCTCAGATGCGTGGCTCAGCTGTGCAGCGCGCAGGGTGATGGTGGGGTGTTTGCAGGCTGCCAGCAGGCGTGGCTTCTGGTGGTGGTTGCTGCGGGCGTGGATGCACTTTGTGATTTTTGTGATTTTATTAATATTTATAGGCCGCCCTTTTCCCTGAGGGGACTCAGGGCAGCTTCCATAAAATAGGGAAGGGAGGGTACAAGACAATAAACGCAAAACAATACATAAGAGTAAAATAGTC